ATGTCAGCACTGCTGGTTGGTGCATGAGATACAGAGGTACCAGGCCGTGTGGCGATCACGCACGAATCCGTCCACTAACCAGCCCCTACCGCTAGCGAGCAGGCCTAGACGATCGTATTAAATACCTAGATATATACAGAAGCGATAGATATAATACAATAGATAGAATTAATAGTAGTAGTCGTATAACTCGTAGGGCGCATTATTAAGATAAAGCAGGTGTCTTCGTATATCTTAAAGAGAAGGTATCTATACGATTATAATTTTTATATTAGTAGAAATTTATTAACTTAGAATTAACCCTAGTATATATCTTAGTAGGCTAATATAAGTTTTACGATAGTTGCAAGCTGTGATGTTGCTGCAAAGTTAAAGTACCTGTAATTTTGTCCGTTACGGCGGTTGTTCCGTTACGAAGGGATATACATTAGCAAGGTATCATGAAGGTTTTCATAGGAAATCAACCAAAGAAATCGTTATTGCATGCAAAGCTACGAGGCATGTATACGTGGGGTGTCGTAATCATAAAAATCCAGATATCAACGTGATATCTTTTGCCGTCTTAGTCAAAAAAAGACAGCACAACTGAGTATCTCAATCAACTCAGGCGTAAGCTCCCTTGTGAGGAATATGTCTAAGCTGCTCTGGAATTCCCACTTCCTTATTCAGCGCCGCTTTTCTCGACAATGCACTCCTCCTCTCCCCGTAGATAGCCGAGACAACCCACAGCACCCACATGATGCTCGCAGCAACGCCATACGCAATCATCTGGCCACGGCTAGCAGCAATACCAGTGAATGCGGGCGCACCAGAGGCAAGCAAGAGGCCAAGACCGCCATTGATCATGCCAAGCGTAATGAGGATGCGTCCTAGCCAAAGATGGCAATGGGACCATACCGTCCGGCAAGTATACTTCTTGTACTGGAGGTGGTGGATGAAGCCAAGAATGGGCTGGAAGAAGAGCATGACGAAGACGATGATGCCAATGATGGGGTGGTAGTTGTCCAATAGGCTCACAGGCATATCGTTGATCATCCACACACCGATGCCAAAGGCAGCGAGGTAGACGGTGTAGGCGAAGAGCTGGAACAAGCCATGTACGATCCAGAGACCACGGAAAGTACCTAGGCGGATGAGGATCGAGCCGAGGGGGAAGAAGAGGACGAAGGCGAGGGCGGCGAGGACACCATGTGCTGTGATCATTTTGCGGCGCGATTCTGAATCCGTGTTTGTGAAGCCGCCATTTGCACCATCACTGCCGTATTGTGTGGCGTAGTCGCTGTTGGCGTCATCACCCCCGCCTCCATAGGACCCAGAGCTCCATTCATCACTCGATCCAGGGCTCCATCTATCGCCAGGACCAGGTCCGAACTGGGCGGACACGATGGTGGTGGCTATTGCTGGTATCAAAAATCAGTCCAGGGATTGAAGATCGATCTACCTATTGCACCTACCTAAGCCAAGTAGAACGGTTCTTGTTGAGGAAGTCATGATGGGAGGCGCCACGTTGAATTGAGTAGCATGAATATGACCAAATAGTCTTACGCGGCCGATAGAAGGAAACATGGGCTACTTATTGTTCACCCACCCCAACGCTTACAGCTGGGCTGATGGTGCAAGCAACTATCGGCGATGCAGGCCAAGTCCGCCCAAACCGTCGCAGCAGACCCGAAACAGACAAAAGTGACATAAGTGGAAGCGAATCAAGACTGAGATTACGCGTTTCTGGAACCTTTGATTGTTTCGAGTGGTGGACATTTGTTCAGCTAGTGCTGTGTTGGGATCGGGGTGTCTATGGAGAGCCGTAGGTCAGACGGCATGTCGGCAAAAACACATGCAGAGAATTCCGACATAGCCTTACATGAACAGGGCGACTACTTAGGCTAGGAATATGCCTGAAGTTGACTATTGTTGATTTCATCTTCACAAATATGTAAGTCGTGGTGGGCATACTTGCAATGAGCACGTGACTGAGAGCGTATCTGAATCTACAATTGCCTTGGGCGGGCCGACGCGCTCCCAATTGGACCGAACGGGCCAGCATGATGTGCCATTTGCATGATACTCGCTGGCAGCGACAAGGGCAGCGACTAGGCAGCGTAGCTTCGACCTGATACCTACTAACTTTTTTTTTCTTTCTGGCGCATGAGGTGCACTCTGTCAGGAGCGCAAGGCTGGATGACTTGGAAAATGGATCCATGACGTAGTGATGGCTCAGGACAAAAGTGAGCACCCCGGACGTTTGTGTTGAAGAATGGGTGTCAAGATCCTTGGAACGGTTCCTGTGTTCTAACATGGGCGGCAGCGTGACATGGCGGTCGACATCGTGATGTGGCAGCCCACGCAGGCCGCCTACCCGTCGGGGGTCGACCCCATGGCGGCCAGAGCGCGGATGTTGAGATTTTCTACCGCCTTCTATCCGGGGGGTGGTCATGGCCAGGGCTGGCCAGGCACATGGCGGTGTTGAAGAGATGCTATTCCTGTCATGTGGTGTTTTGTCGCAGTCATGAGTTCGCGGGTGTATTATGTGACTGCGCAGCCGCCAGCGAAACCGGTTTTTTTTTGGGGGGGGGGGGGGGGGGGNGGCAGTGTCTCGGAGGCTTAGGCAGGCAGACAGAGACGTTCGCCCTTTTGCCACGGCGGCCTGAGGCGAAGAAGCAAAAACGGATACCGAATTGGGGAGATTGGTGATGAGTTGTTTGGGCAAGAAGGAGGTGAAGAGCCTTACAGCGCTGAGTTGTGCAGGCCCAGGACCAGGCATGACTCCTGCAAAGCCCGATCTTCGGCTGCGGCAGCTGACCAATGACGCGGTGGCCCGCCAGTGACAGCGGGCCGCCATTCGCTGGCTGGTAGCATCTTCATGATCCCCGTCACACCACTGCGCGGCTCTGAGTCACCCTGCAGCCTACTACTCCCGGCCATGGCTGACTGGGTAGGGTACCTGCATGAATGAGGTGATCATGGCCGGTGTATATAAGTCTTGCACGCCATCCTGCTTCTATGCCGGTCTCTACTGAGATTATTAGCCGCCTTTGCGGCTTTTCGCCCTCTCTCCCCTTACTGCTACTACAACTACAACTACAACTTCAACAACCACTCTACTCTACACAATCTCAGCATTATCTACTACACTCACCATATTCTACACTACTACACTCACCATATTCTACACTACTACCGCCACCAAAAGACTCAAAAAAGAGAAGAAATGGGCAAACGTCACAACAGAAAGCGAACCAGAAGCCGTCCCAGGAACCGGAATAACAACAACAACAACAACAATAATCCTAATGCCAACAACAACCTGAACATTAATACAACGCCAATCCACATCCGGAGCGAGTCGGTCAGCACCGCCTCTTCAACTCTCTCGCCAACAAGCTCTTGCTTCCAGCCCTCTGGCTGCCCGCTTGCCAACGTGCCAGCAAACCACTGGCAGCAAACCTACACAGCATGGCAGATGCGCCTGCGAATCCAACGGGAGCAGGAGCAAGAGTTGGAGCTAGAAACGCAGCGACTCCGCATCTTTGGTGGCTTACCGGAGGATGAGCGGTGTCTAATGGAACCCATGCTCAAGGTCGTCACGGATCTCTTCGACGGCTTCTACGACTACGAGGACCCTTGAACGAATACAGAAGGACCACGACCATAGAAGCCCCCGGGGAGGTCTGAACCTGCATTCCACGACCTTTTTTGCTCCACTCTCGTGCATCGCATGGCCATGGCCACTTCCCCGACCCCACTTTTTTTTGATGGGTTGGTCGCAGGGGGTGGGGGTGGTAGAGGCGGTGAGAGCACCACCTCGTTGTTACCACGCCTTGTACGCATACATACACGTCGTCTCTTTTTTGTGTATGTGTCTAGACCCTCGTGGCACGACCCGCATGCATCCCTCCCCCTTAATGCTTGTTTCCAATTAACCACCCCTCTTCGTCGACAACAACGACTCCACTGCTTTTAACCACTATCCGCTTTAGGGATCAAGCAGCTAAGGATTCTTTGTCCTCCCCTTTTGGGTCGACCGGCTCTTATTTATTTTTTTTCTCTCTTCGCTTCGCTGTTTGGCAATAAGCGCTACACATACTTTACACGACATCCAAGTTTTCAACAACTCAGAACTTTAATTTTGCCCAATCAGAACACAACCCCATGATTCGCGATTTTCGCCAGGGCGGAGGCGTGGGATACCATCTGGGTACGGACTCGTAGCAGATCCTAGACAAGAGTACTATGGGACTTTGACTCTTTCATCAAGAGTGCGATTTCCTAAGTGCCAAAGAAAAAGTCTGGATTGGTTCAACTATTGCTCAGCCCTAGGACTCCGTCTATTTGCGCATGCGCGGTGGACATGGAAGGAATGGGAGAAAAGGAGGAAGAAAAAGCAGCTAGATGCGCGCTCTGATGTCTAGACAATCCCGCTTGAGTCTATCAGCTCGCGGGTTGCACATGCATCGAGCTTGAGCGTCGCTGCTTCGAGGAGGAAGGAAGGAGGTGAAGGAGGAGGAGGAAAATATGGAAGGAAAGAAAAGGGGGGAAGCCATGCGCTTATTTCTGGTCGACGAATCATGGGGAAACTGGTAAATGGGGGGTTTGTCGTTTTGTGTTGCTCTTCTCTTTTCTCTACATCTCTCTCCTAATGATTTTCTACGCCGTAATGAACTGGGAGGAGGGGCTTTTCGAAGGTAATGGTAAAAGGTAAAATGTGGTGGATTGATGAATGTAACGGCCGCTCTTTTTTTCATTTTACACATAGCATCTAGTTTTAAATAAATCTTTTACGCCTCACATCTGCTATACCTTACGACTTATAACTTGGTGTTGTGTGATGGGGAGCAGAACAGTGATTGCTCGATCCTCCTTTCTCCTTACTCTCCTTAGTCACACCGACACTGTCCATACAACTCACTAATATATAAACCCCCCCCCCCTTTTTTTTTTTGCTGATTAACACTTCCCCTCAACACGCCCCAGGCCTGGGTCCTAGACTCCCCCTGTAAACCCACAAGCGGACTGCAACAGTGCCGAGAAAGAAAAAATATCCGCATATCCCTATGCTGAGTAATAGTAGCGTGTACATGGCTAGTAAATCGGGGCCGTGGTTATAGCTGTGGTTTTCTGTCATGTTTTACTCGTAGTAGTATCGGGGCAATGCCAAAGTGTGAAATCTGAATATTCTTCGTGATATTACATGGGTAAAAGACAAAAGGAGAAGAAGAAGAAGAAGAAGAAGAAGAAGAAGAAGAATAGAAAAGTGGTAGGGTACACGGCACAGAGAGATGACGATTCAATGCATCAGACATGTCACATAGCCAGATAAATGATATTGAAGAGACTAAGACGCCAAACTTTATGAAGACAAAAATCATTTCAAACATGTGTGAATAATGTGAATGCTAAGTGAATACATGCAAAGTGAAATATCGTAGTAACCTAATGTATATAATCACAGAAGGAAAGAAAAGGAGAAGAAGTACTTCCCCCCCAACGCCATTCTTTACCCCAAAGCAGAGCATTAAACCTCCCAACTCGAAAAGTGGTATCATATGAAATGAAGACTGGAATGAACATGACTTCCTCTTCCAACCCCGTCTTTGTTGACTTCCCCAAAAACCCTAAACAGCGCGTTGCAAGCCCTCACTTGATAGCTGGCAACGCATCAATCTTGGCATAAAGCTCCTGCGGATCCTCAAAAACATACCAAAGATCCTTGGGAACCCCCTTAAATGCCTTCTCAAACCGCTCGGGGCTATTCTTGGCACCCTCATCCATCTCCGCAACGCCCGTGACCTTGCGAATGTAAATAGCGCCAATCCACTTGCTGCCAAACTTGCGGTAGGCCTCGCCGTACGACTCCGGGTCAGTCTGTGTCGAGTCGCCAATGAGGATGAATCTACGCTTAGGGAACCATCCGTAGACCTTTTCGATGCGATCGACTTTGTAGGCTTCAGTGCCTTGGGTTAGGTTGGCGAGGAAACCCGCGAGATTCATCCAGCTGGCATCGCGCAGGATCATGGTGCCGTTGGGGTAGTACTGGTCGCGGAATTTACGGAGGAAGGGGTAGAGATTGTAGGGTGAGGCAGAGAGATACCAGAAGGGTGGGTTGTCGAGCTTTTGGACAATGTGCTTGTAGAGCTCGGGCATTCCCTTGATGGGTTCTGGCTCCTCTGCGAAGGTAGTAGTCAGGATACCAGTGGGTGAGGGTGTGAGCGTCTTCTTGATGGTGTCGTCGATGTCAGAGAGGACTGCCCAGCCCTTGGACTTTGCAAAGGTAATGTTGAATGGAGTTGCAGTGGCGTCGACGGCCTTGAAGCTGGTAACTTGGCCATCTTTGTAGTCGTTGCCGGGAATGGCCAGCTCGTCGACACTGATGCCATCGCGGCCACTAGGGCCCAGTCTGGCGGTCAAACCCAGGAGGTCAATCTCGACCGAGTGGGCGGGAAGGATCTGGTCGGCAAAGGGCTGGAGCCTGGTTGCGACGGTCCGTCTGGCTTGCTCATCGTCTGCAAGGCCAATCTTTTCGCTGACCCAAGCGACTATCTGAGAGAGGTCCTTGCCGCTGTCCTTGACGAAGTAGCAGGCGACAAACTCGGCCTTCCACCTTCCAAGCCGATTCTGGTAGGCGGTGTTGTCGAGGATCCAGACATAGTCGGTTTTTGAATTGACGGGGGAGTAGAAGGGGTTCTTGCGGCCAAGGTAGGAGGAGAGGTTGTCCTTGAGGGAGAAGCTGAAACGGTTGGCGAGCTTAGGCATGTCTGCTTCAAAGGCGGCGAAGTTTGATTTTTCTCTGGTGATTCGCTCTTGTTCGGTTTCTTCAGCGCGCATGCGGGCACGGCCGGCCATTGCAGCAGCGGACTCAGGCGCCATTTTGTAGGGTGGTGGGGTTGTACGAGGGCGGCGGATTGCTATGGTGGTTCAAAGGTCAGGAGGAGAGGATGTTGCACGGGACAAAGGGGTGCAATGGCCATAGTCGCGGTCATATACTTTGGGCTAGCACTTGACCAGAGGGTTGTGAGTGGTTGTCAACAGGTGTCTCGCAGCTGGAGCGAATGTGCATGAGGAATGACGTCTAGCCAAGCCGTAGTCGCCGCATACGCTGGGGCATGATCGCCTGCCGAGGAGCGCGTCTCAGATCCCTGCTTTGTGCTGCCATGGCCTCTGTAGAGTAGTGCTAGATACTTATATAGGTGTATGGTAGCATGCGCATGTGTGCTTCCTCCAGGCACCATAGTATTACAGTACAGGATGAATTCACAGATTACGGGGAGTCAAGAGAGCTACAGACGTGGATGAGGTAATGGCTGTCCAATGATAGCGGGGGCCTTTGGCAGGGTTGGGTGCCTGGCTGTGTGTCATGGAGCGGCGAGTGACGCAGGTGCAGTCGCAGTTAGGTGCAGGCTACAGATGGTCGAGGGGCGGATCGGCAGGCAGCATACATATCATACTCAGCCGTGTGCCTGATGGTCTAAGTAGTAGTAGGTGGGTATAGGAGTACATAGTACAAACATACAAGAGTATAGACACACGGGACTGCATCTTGGCTGACTCATGCGTGGCCAAAGAGGTGGCTACAGCAGACTCCCGCCTGCCACTGCAAATGCTGGGCAGAACAGAGGACTCGGTCAAGTTGGCAGTACACGTGTACACATACGTCTAGCGCTGGATGTCAATATGCCCGCCACGATACCGTCTCGAGTAGTGCCTGAGGGTCCACTCTTCTTGCAGCCATCGTTGCCGCTGTTTGTGTGTGTGTGTGAGTGCACCCGTGTTCAGGAACAAAGCTGGGCAGAGTATGAAATATGTATCGTATCGTGCGTGATCCATGTCAAGGATATCGAGTCGAAGCGCTTACTGTAGGTGTATAGTACTCGATCCCACAGTGCCCTACTCTCCCCACAGGGTCCAATGAAGCCGACAGTCGGACCGTGGGCGTGCATGTCCGCAAAGAGCGGTATTGCTTGGCAACACCCTCCGCCTCTGGGACGCGTACTACTACTATTACTACTACGGTGTAAGGCGGTCATGGTGGCTGTCAGACGTGGATGAGGACGCTGCACAGCCATCAACGGCCCATTGCCACACGTTATACGCGGCCGTTTACGTCGCCCACCCTCACCCGCCTGCGCCGCTGTTGCCATGGCTCGGGGCCAAGTCATATCTTACCTAGGGACATCCGCCCGCGCGGAGCAAAGCGCGCGTGCTCGAGGCCCCATCATCTCTTTCTCACTGCCCACAGAACCACCATAGGCCCCGTATTCCTTGCACCCATACATATTGCCTAGGCCCTCAGCCCTCCAGCCTCCCAGTCACTCTGCGCTGCTAGTTCGCGCCTTGCCTTGACATCATTCCGCCGTCGCCTTGACACCCCACATTAACCCTTGCTGGATACCGCCGTCATGGAGCTCAAGAAGCGCCTCAACTTGGGCAGCTTGATGCGCAAACGCTCATGTTAGTCGCGCGACGACACTCTGAGTACTGCGTTAACACACACAGCGGCCCCGCCCCAGGACTCCGTCCATGTAGACCCTAACGCCGATACGCCAGAAGCAAATGCTGCCAGGGGCGTGGTAAGCCACCTCGACTCGCCAACGCTTGTCCACCCAAGCTAACAGCAACCAGAGACTCTTCTGCGAGTCGGGCGCTGCTAACTCGGTATGTCTTGTCTGCAAATAGCTATCTCGCTCCCCACTGACCATGCCGCGACGAATAGGGCGAAGAAGTGCTCCACCTGCCAACCATTGTCGAGTCCGCCGTCGCAAGCCCAGCTGCTGCATCCGCCGCCGCCAGACAAATCCGCATCTTCCTCTCCAAAGAAAACTACACCCGCCCTCATGTTCAGTACAACGCTATCATGCTCATCCGCATATTGTCCGACAACCCGGGCCCCTCCTTTACCAAGAACCTTGACAAGCCATTTGCCGATACGGTGAAGCACCTCTTGCGCCATGGACAGGACCCCAGCGTTGCGCAAATCACAAAAGAGACACTGGATGCCATGGAGCGCGAAAAGTCCTACGACTCCAACCTAAACACGCTCTTCGCCATGTATAAAAAAGAAAAGGGGCTCATGGCCAATGCCGCAAAACAATTCAGTCCCCGAACGCTCAATGCGCCAGGATGGTCCGGGTCGCAGAACATACAGGGCGGCTTTAGCTCTGGAAGCAGCAAGTCCAATTCAAAGACTTTGCCCCCGCCCACAGAGCTGGCAGGTCGCATCGAAGAAGCGCGCACATCTGCGAAGCTTCTCCTGCAATTCGTGCAATCGACCCCCGCCAACGAGCTGCTAAGCAACGAACTGGTCAAGGAGTTTGCAGAACGCTGCACCACCGCTCAACGGAGCATACACGGCTACATTGCCTGCGACAATCCGCCCCCTGATGACGACACCATGCTCACACTCATTGAAACAAACGAACAACTCTCCCTCGCTGCCTCCAAGCACCAGCGTGCAGTGCTCCAGGCGCGTCGCTTCATGGGTGCCTCGCCCTCACCCCCAGTTCCAAACGGCAATGCCCCAGCTGGTGTGCCTCCTCCTCCTCCTCCTCAGTCATACACGCCGCCACCGACCAGCGCGCCCACACTACCTCCTACAAACGTGACAAGCACCCAGCCGCTCACCTCTCCCTCTGGTAGCTACAGAAACGAAGAGACTTCACAACCAAAGCTGAGCGCGCCAGAGGAGAATCCGTTTGCCGATCACTACACATCTCCACCCGCACCCCCAAACCCAAGAGGAACAAGTGATTACGGTGGCTCGCCCGACTCGTATCACCCTGGCTACCACTCGACTCCATCTTACCTGGGCCGACAAGAGAGTTCTGCGAACAACCTAACCATGCACGGTGCTCAGCCACCGATTGCTGAAGAGGATGAACATGGGCGACCACGGACCGAGCGCCCACGAACACCCGAGGGGAACGTGCCGCAACAGCGAGCCCATGACGGGTCGCCGATTGCAGAGCGTAACACAATAACGTACAGATACTAGCAGTGCCGTGAGGGATGTGACCATGGATTGGTTAGCGGCCCAAGTCCGGACGTACTGATGTGGGGTACTAGCGTACCGCCCGAGTACCCACAGATCTGACCGGAGACGTCCGTTGCTTTGAAATCACAGCGCGTACATATTCTTCTTTTTGCCATTCTGAGCACATTTTGATAACTTCATCTGACTGCATAGTTGGCAGCGTAGTTGTTTGGAAAGATACCATAGTTTGTTTGTTTTTGATCCGGGTTCGATACATATTCTAGATGTGCACTTGCTTTGTCCTGCCCCGCATGCTGCATGCTGCAAGCCTACAGGGCGCGCAGGCCGGTGACCTAATGCTAGACGCCATGGTAGTTGGATTCCTAAGCATCTCGTGCACCTCACGCGTTCCTGTGATGCATCAATCACGTAATCCGCACCGCGCCGCTCCCACGTTGCCTAACCAGCCCAGATGCGATATACTTGCCTCAATCCTGCTTGCGCAGGGCGACGAGCCGGGGGAGCCTCGCAAACAACCCCTCCAATCTGGAAGGCAAGACCCGACACACACCCCCACTGCGGCGGGACAAGGACCGCGCCTAGCGCAAAAAGATTTAGAGCAGCCGTCATGTTGAAGAGATAATAATACACTACCGAACTGCCCTGCCGTCCCCTTCACTCGAATCTCCTCCTCCTCTCTCTCTCCTTCTTCCTCATGGCATACTGCTACAACAGTCCATGGCTCGTTCGTTCCCAAAATGCGTCGACACGGTGATCATCGGTATGCGCCCGAGTGAATAGCATATGCGACCCAGACACTAATTACAAATACAGGCAATGGCCCATCTGCCCTCATCCTCTCCTACATCCTGCATGGCCACATTCCCTACTACGTCGGCGGCCATCATGACGCCATACTCGACGCAAAACTCCAGAACGCGCCTAACCTTCTCCACCTAACCCCGGATCTCTACGCGCATTTCCTCTCCTCACTTCGTTACTCGACCCAGGCGCTACCCGTCAATACGCTTCTCGATACCCTCATTCGCCCAAATGCTGACACTGAGTTGAATCCCAAATCATGCATTGAATGGCGGTACGAGCCTGACAAGGCCATCTCACATCTTGCCATTGGAGAGACTGCACATGCAGGGGGACAATGGGCCGAAGATTCGCCCTCTGCGAGCGCCGACATAGGCACGCTAAGTTATGCCGAACAGCTTAGCCTACCAGGTTATTCATATGCAGACCATTTGGCTAGAACCAGCAAGACAGACGAAGCGGAATTTGTACGTCCATCGAGGACTGAAGTTGCTGACTACCTCAAGACCTATCCAGATGCAGTAGGTATATCCGACTGCGTGCTTACGGGGCTCAAGGTCGACAACGTTTACCGTACCGTCAAGGGCTTCTCAATCGGCAGTCTCGGAATACGGTGTAGGCATCTTGTGCTAGCATCTGGCATCTTCACAGTCAACATCCCACCACCGCCACTGCTCTCACCCATCTCACTATTAAATCTGCCCGAAGCGCCCTTGCTTGTTATTGGATCAGGATTTTCCGCTGCAGACGTCATCATTTCGGCGCCGCCAAGACGTAGGATCATACACGTCTACCAGTGGAATCCTGAAAAGCGCCCGTCTCCACTCCGAGGGTGTCATCATACTGCTTACCCCGAGTATGCCACTGTATATCGCCAGATGAAGCTTGCAGCAATCGCACCTTCGAAAAAGAGCAAATCTGGGCGGCCCGCCTACGCAAGGAGAAGATCAAGTGCCTTCCAGCAGCGAGACTGGTCGCTTTACGAAGGCCTACCTGGCGCAGAAGTTGTTGGTGTGTACAGGTCTGGAGATGTGGCCAAGGTAGAATTGAGGCTATCGTCGGGTGACACTGTTACGCGTGAAGTAGGTGGCTTGGCCTATGTTGTAGGAAGGCGTGGTACACTCGACTTTCTGTCTCCAGAGTTACAATCTGAGGTTCTTAGTGCACCTGACAATGTACCGGTCGAACTATCGTCGGACAAACTAATCTCGGGTCGTACGCTTCGCGCAAAAGCTGAAGCAACCTCTCTCGAAGTGGCTAAAGATGTTTTTATTACTGGAAGCCTTACAGGCGACTCTCTGATTAGACATGCAGTCGGTGGTTGTGTTTTCGCAGCTGGTCGCATCCTTGGAGCTATACCAAGCATGCACCCCTCTGACAACACCCTCTCGCCAGCTTTATCAACACCCCGGTCTGCATCGCCAGTCTCCAACTCTGATGCCGAAGCTGCCGCGTCTGAAATTAGTCCTAGTCCATCGAGACCACGGACAGGTCAACGAACACCTTCTGAGCTGACAAATGGTCATGAAGATTTGCATTTAGACCGAAGGAAACTTTTCCGTGCTGTGGAGACGGCGCATGCGGAGAATAGGTCTTGGGTTGATTCGGGCTGGTGGGCTGGTGGGCTGGGGCCTGGAAGGTATTGATTTCTAGACGTTTGGTTTTGAAATTGCTGCTTGCATTACATACCCAATATCGTTGAATATATACGTTTGCAACCGTAAGCTTGAATACTCGAAGAAAATGAAGTGTTATATATGCGATAAGCGTATCTGCATGTTTGGGGATTAGCTTCTTGTAAATGTAGTGGCTCGGATTTGACAATTTACCAAGTCCAATCACAAAAACAATTGCTGCGGCAAAGCAAAACGATCAAGACATGAAAAACCAGAATGGGAGTCAACCACACTAAACCTTTATATACAAAGTCTCGGATTTGAGACAAGTAGGGAATCATTCAAGAATAGTCAAAAAAACATCTCTCAACCTTCTTTTCTACCTTGAACAAAATCCAAATATTTCCCCACACAAGAACTACATATGCACAAAAAAAAACTCCCTTTAAAAGACCTTAAACTCAACCAACCTAACCTTCTCCCCCACCACGGGCGTAAAAACCAGCCTAACCTTCTGACTCTGCACCGACTTCCATTCAGCCTCTGTAATCCCATTCGCCACAACCTCCGCATACATTGCCCCTTCCACATCCCCCCAGCTGCCCCCCTGACCCAGAACCTGCACTCTATATTGCGTGGGCGCCGCAAAACCCTGACTTTTACTTTGGAAAAACGCAATTTCAGCACTACCAACACTAACCTGCTGTCCAAAATCAATCTCAAACCACATCTCAGCCGCATCGTTGGTGGTAGTAGTAGTAGTAGTAGTAGCGACCGGAGCCTCCCACCCATTGGCAGCATCTTGGGTATCAAAAAACCACACACGGCCATCAATGGCAGCGTACGTGTTTGAAGTCGAATTGGCCACTGATGCCATGCCGCGGGGGAACGGCACCGTGGTATTTAGCTGAATCGACTTTGCAATGCGAGTGGTAAAGGGTGCGGGTGCGGGTTTGCGCGGAAGCGGGATGGAGATTCGCGAGGCGGTGGGCTGAGAGATTACGGGGTTATCATCGTCGATTTCGATGACGAGGCCGCGGGAGCCGTAGTGGGAGCCGGAAGCGTCCCATTGAATGGCGATGGTGTGGCCGTGGTACGGGATGCGTTCTGCGCGGAAGTAGGTGATGGTGGAGGGGTCGAAAAGGGGGTTTACGACGAGGATGTCTGAGGCTGAGGGGCGGAGGCCGACGAGACCGCTGATGATGAGGTCGTTGAAGCCCGAGTGGAAGTAGTGGTGGGAGCGTTTGAGACCGACGATAGGGAGGCCGGTGTCCGGGTGGTAGTCTTCTTCTAGATCCAAGATGCCGGTCGAGGGGTTGCGGTGGAGTTTTGCGTATTTGCGGAGCATGGCGGTGTAGTCTTTGGGGGTTATGACGCCGGTTTGCGTGCCGTTGGGGTAGTGGTCGAGGAAGTTTGCGAGGCCGGAGAGGACTTGGGTATATTGGAATGGCCAAACGGGGCCGTTCCATTGGCACTCTGGGTTTTTGCCTTCGTACCGGTATTGTCGCATGTAGTATTGGTAGCTGGGCTCTCCTGTGCGGAGACCGGCGGGGCCGGAGAGCTGGCTGCTGTTGAGGACGTGGCTCCAGGCTTGGGCGTATTCGACTTTGTCGTCGGGGAGGTCGTGGGTCCAGGGTACCATGCCGGCGAGTTCGCGTCCGCGGATGAAGTTCCAGTAGGTAACGTTCTGGTTGTTGACTTTGAACCGGTCGATGAAGTGCTCGAATGTAGAGTTCCAGAGTGCGTCTTGTACGCGCTGCTTAAGCGCTTCTGCTCGGCTGTTGTACGTCGAAACTGTACTGTCCAAGCCGCCCTTGAGCGCTGCAATGTTAGCAATTGCCCGGGCGTTGGCGTATTGGTAGCTGTTGATTGTCGGTCGGAATGCCTCTCCTCCAGTGAAACCATCGAGGCCACCAGACGCATCAATGCTCGAGATAGTGTACTCTGTAGCATCACGAAGTGGCTCAACCCAGTATAGACCCTTTGAAGTGTCGTAAGAGTCTTTCCATGCCTCATAGACGACTTGCATAGCATCAAGTCTTTTAGTGACATCAGACACCGACCCGTCGACCAGGTATCCATCCCAAACAGCCGACGCCATACTCTCTGAGAATTGGCGCCTGTTGCTGTCTTTGCTGTACATGAAGTTTGCGTAATCCTCCTTGAATCTTCGATCGCGACACCATCGAGCCTCCAGAAGATGGAAGCCCGTTGCATCGTTCAACGAAGCCCATGGCTTGGTTTGCCAGGAGACGTCGTTGAGAAACTCGGTGGAGATGAATCCATAGGCGCCTAGATCACGTTGGTGGGCGCGGAAGATGGACCAGCGGTAGTAGTAAGTATCGGTGAGGTCGGCGTCGCTGGATTCAAAGAGAGGAATGCGGTCCTGATACCAAGGTGCATCGTTGCCAAAGTATTTGGACAATATCGCCTTTGAATCAAGAATTGCGAGTCCTTGGTGGATGACGGAGCTCAGTGCCAGAGAGGTCGCAAGCTTCATGACGGGCAGCGAAGAATTGAATTGCGGTATGAAGACATGGACATTATCCAGCACGACTTCATCTTTTTTTACACTGCCCGGGCGGTCACTTCACCCGAAGCTAATCTTGCTTGCATCGGTATCGCTGCAAATAATTCTCCGTCAATGCTCATTGCTTCTCGAAAAGGTCACTTGCATCGTATTCGCTTCCGTAGATGCAGTTCGTGCGCAACCACCCCGATCAGTCGCCCCGCTTCTTCTCCGCAAATTGGGTGATCTGCATGGGAACAATTCCTCCGTGAAATCATCACTAGGTCCATAGACGTCATAATTGAGGTTCAAACGTCTGCCGCGGCATTTACCAGGGTGCAATCTGAATGTGTCTACCGGGGAGATCGTGGCTGTATATGATTGCATCTCAACACTTGGAGTATCTTTGTAGCCAAAAGGTCATTTACTCTACAGTACTTACTCTTTACATTTCCGTCAACGATATACAAGCATTTGCGCAACTCGTACTAAGAAGCTTAATCACCCGTGAAGCATTTCCAAGCGTTTGATCCACAGTTTCAAGCCTTTTCCTTAGATTAGCCTCGGGTGAAACTAACCCGGTCAGCTTCTACAGCACGGTTCTGCGATCAAGCTCATTTCAGCGACTCATATTCATCCACAATAAACTCTGGCAAACACAAAATGCAATATAGGTTCTATGTTGCACCACAGCTGTTATCTTGTCAATTAGGCACGGGAGGTTTTTGAAGCATGATTACTGGAAATTGAATGTGTGACATTAAAAAATATTCGCTAGTCGTAACAGTCGTATCAAGTAACTCCATGACTTTTCAGTCACGTGCCACTTCAAATATACATTACGTCTCTCATGCACTGAATGGTTGCACTCTCGTTTTACTCATACCTAATACGGCGTATTGGCCTTTCGGACAGCCTCCCAATTCGTGACACTCTGGCCTGGCATGGTCCCAGGATGTTCGTGCTGACCATGAATGGCACGATTACCGTCAGTGCCTCCAGCTCCAGTGCCATACTGTTGAGCGTTCATGGGTAAGCCGGTGTGCGGTTCAAGGACGGTGGAGTTGTGCGTAAGATCACTGGTGGGGTGGGCGCCATATACACCGTGACGCGTTTCACTGTGGCTGAGGTTAGGTTTGACTCGGAAACACGCCTTGGGATGCAACATAAACTTACCGGTCGCCGCTAATTGAGTAAGGATCACCAATCGGTCCGTCAGTACCTACATGCTGTCTCTTTCCTACAGCATACGGGTCGCTATGATGAGATTGTTCGAGAACCTCACGTGCAGGATGACCTTTTGGTGGGTCCTTGTGCAGAAGGTGTTTGCCTTTCCAGCGGGGTGAGTCTGGGTCCTCACTATCTTCCTTCGAGTGTCTCGTACTATAGTCTTTTGATTGACGAGGCGAAGACTCCGGGCTTGCCGACGATTTCTCTTTCCTGGACTTATCACGGTGCAAGAAGCCCAACAATCTGTGTTTTTTCTTTTCTTCCGTCTCGTTTTCCTTGTCAAAGTCCTTTTCACGATGATGTTGTCCCTTCTCGTGGTCAAGGGATGTCTTCTTGAGATAATCATTAGATTCACGACGGTCTTGATCTTGATGACGATCGTTCGCATATGCTGCACTGCCGAGTCCTGCTGCTCCCACAGCACCACCCAGAAGGGCGGCGTTGCGAGTGTTGTGTCCTTCGTGTACCGGATCCTGAACAGCACCATATGATTGAACATTAGGATCTTGAACATGTGTGTTATGTGGCGCAATAGTGCCCTGGGTGGGATCCGATACATGAGTAGGGCTGTCGTCACGCAGAGGCCAGGAAGCCTGTGAAGTGTTCTGGGTGGGATAAATAGGCTGCGAAACTGGTCCTCCCTGCGCATGTGAAGCATAGTCTTCCTTTTGGCGGAGTGACAAGTCTTGGGCGTCATGAGCATGCGGCTCACGAGCGTAAGCTCCAGCACCCAAGGCGACACCAGCCAAACCAGCACCAGTGAAGGCGGCATTTCTGTTGACATGATCATTTAGGTCTGTCCGGTTGACATTGCCCAGGACGGTAGGGTTGTTGTAGTCATATTGACTCGCAGGCGCAACGGGGTTGGAGGCTCGAGCATTGGAAGCAGTAGGGTCGTACCGCTGCTCAGGCATGGACGCCCCAAGCTGCGTCATCTTATGGCTACTATACACATCCACTGCGTCTTGAGCCCCGCGACGAGTAGCACCATCATCAGCTAGAGTAGTGTCGCGAGGAAGATCATGTGACACTGGAGGGCCAGATATGGTTGGATCACTGTCATGGTTGGCCTTGGCCTGGGGGTTAAAACGTTGCTCCTCCATCTTGAGTTTGTCTCCCATAACACGTGGATCGAGTTCCTTGCCACTGTACGGCCGAGAGTCTTCATATAGTAGTGGGCTGCTTTCGGCATCCCGAGCTTCGTAATCTTTAGACGCTGCGTGAGCTCCCAGCCCTGCGGTTCCAGCAAGGAGAGTACCAGCGATTGCAGCATCACGGGCGTGATGGTTGTCACCAGCGGACTTTGGTCTTGGCTCTTCAAGTGTTCCGGTGTGCCTCAGCTCGTGGGTTCCAGTAGTAGAGACAGGATCCACAGGCGGCTCATCCGAATTCGAGACTGCAGCCACAGAGGAAGCTTGAACGGGTTCATTCACACCTGCATGGTTGGATGTTGATTCGATTATAGGATCATAGTGCAGAAACAGGTTAGACTCATCACTTGGAGTAGCAATGTATTCGCCAGGAATATGCCTATGTCGCGACTCAAGCCGTGGGATGATTGGGCGTTCACAGTTGCCAATTGGTTCAGTCGTGGGAAGAATAGTTCCGTTGTTGTCAGTCTCAAGTTTCTTCTCTTGAGTGGATGATGGAAGTAAGGAGGAACCGGAGGCAACAGCAGTAGCTGTGGCAATTCCTGTAGGATGGTGACTAGTTTCTGGCTGGCTCAAAACGTCCGAGCCTGTTTGGCTCTACGTAATTGTTAGATTTTTGTCAAGCCAGGTCGAGCGAATGAGCGAATGAGTGAATAGTGTACGTACAGTTGTTGGTGGGACAGTTGTAGATGGAGCATCTCCGTATGTAGCTTGACGAGTTTCAGCGCCTTGGTTTTTGACATCTTTTTCTTCGGGCTTGGAGTTGGCGTGGGAGGCTCCGAGAACAGTGGCGGCAGCCGCCGCTCCAGCAAGTCCCTCGCGTCCATGGCTGTCATGGCTTGCACTTTCCTGTGGGCTAGATTTCACACCGCCAGCAAGCGGAAATGATCGATCAGTATCAGTAATGTAGCTCTCCTGACGCAGAGTATTCGCAAATGGTTGCGGTTCGTCCTTGTGGCTGGAAACAGCAGTACCAGCTGGTGGATTGTTAACCACACTGGTTTCTAAAACTTCTGGTCAGAAATCGCAGTTGAGAATAATATATTAAAGCCAAAGAAGCATCTACGTACGGGGATGTGTTTCAGCACCGGCATTTGGTTGTACACTTTTGTCTTGAGTCATTCCGGCAGTGCCAGGACTTCCGCCTCCGACCACTTGGTCCTCGGTCATGTTACTTTGAGTGGGGTTGTGCATTGACATGGCAGCATGTCCCTGGGATTCTGTCGGACCAAAACCAATGACTCCACTTTTGATGCTAGCAATACTAGCCTCTTGAGTGTGGCCATGTGGGTGAGGATCGGGACGAAGAGCTCCTGCAGGAGACGCGCCATTGTTGACCGGAGATTGTGCCTTACCAGTGTCAAGTGGGCTTGATCCATCTGTGCCAATTTGCTCTGGTTTTCCATGAAGTTTGTGGCCTTGAAGCCGTTCCAAAGTACCTGGCTTGGCTAACTCGGTATAGGGAGCACCAGACGTAGTTTTGATATCGTACAGCGGCTGACCAGGAGGGGCATGTTTGCCTTGGCGGCTGCTGGAAGTTTCACTGTGGGTGGGGTATTGCTGACTGCGTTTTGTATTAGCGATATTGTGTCGGTGGAGCGATGGGAATACAGACGTCTCGTTGGTGGATGCAGGGTCATGAGTGATGCCCTCACCCTGGTCCTTTTTGTGTCCGTGACTGAAGATGGATTAGCTATAGGAAATGGCGGCGGCTGCTTTGTCTACACACAGGACGTTCTTGATTTTGTCCATATCGACAGTTGTGGGCCGTGTGTTGGGCCAGGGTCTGGAGGATGATGGGCTTCAGTGCTCGGAGGAATTCAAGGATCAGCACAAGCGAGGAAAGCAAATTACCAGAATAGTGGTATTAATTGTTATGAGTAGAAGTTGCGAGAAACAAGGCACAGCTGGCGAGGTCAAGTCATGACGATGTTTGGTGTTTGGTGTCGAGCAGGGCGACGCCTATGAGGTCATTGTTGGGGTAGCTGGGTAGGTGCAGCGGCTAGAGGCGCGCCTGCCAATCACGACGGCCGCTCCGACGGCTGTGGTGATGCAGCGATGGGAAGGTCGGGAGTGAGAGCGCCTACTGAACAGACTTAGCATTTGCAGCAATTGTTGCGCTGGTTGGGCGATGCAGCGCCCAAAGGGTGACTACTGCTCAGCGCTGGACTGTACCCTATTACTGGGCGCGGGCGTGGGCGCATGTGTTAGCATACATGTGCATGGGGTAGAAAAAGGAGAGGCCATGGGATTTGAGGGATGCGGGGCGGCGTCATGTTAGTGAGCCATCCGTCCGGTGCAGTTCGAGGACGGTCCAGCTCATCAGTCGAGTGCCCATGCTCATGCCAGCACGGGCTTGTCCGGCGCGACGTGGACAGCCAACCGTGGGAACAGATGGTGTAGCCGTGTCAGGGTGGCACTGATGTCTCGTAGAGGTTACATTTGGCGGTTACTGCCACCACCGAGGGGCGTAAGTATGCGTACATGCAATCTCAGCCGTACAAAGTATGTTATATTTGTACATAGAGTAGGTACTCTGGGTGTTCGTATGCGTACCGTACCGTATGCGTACCGTACCGTATAGCCAGCAGACGCACCCATGATCTTCAG